GAGTGTTGGAGGGCCTGGAGGGGGAGTGTTGGAGGGCCTGGTGGGGGAGTGTTGGAGGGCCTGGTGGGGGAGTGTTGGAGGGCCTGGTGGGGGAGTGTTGGAGGGCCTGGAGGGGGAGTGTTGGAGGGCCTGGAGGGGGAGTGTTGGAGGGCCTGGTGGGGGAGTGTTGGAGGGCCTGGAGGGGGAGTGTTGGAGGGCCTGGTGGGGGAGTGTTGGAGGGCCTGGTGGGGGAGTGTTGGAGGGCCTGGAGGGGGAGTGTTGGAGGGCCTGGTGGGGGAGTGTTGGAGGGCCTGGTGGGGGAGTGTTGGAGGGCCTGGTGGGGGGAGTGTTGGAGGGCCTGGAGGGGGAGTGTTGGAGGGCCTGGAAGGGGGAGTGTTGGAGGGCCTGGTGGGGGAGTGTTGGAGGGCCTGGAGGGGGGAGTGTTGGAGGGCCTGGTGGGGGAGTGTTGGAGGGCCTGGAGGGGGGAGTGTTGGAGGGCCTGGAAGGGGGAGTGTTGGAGGGCCTGGTGGGGGAGTGTTGGAGGGCCTGGAGGGGGGAGTGTTGGAGGGCCTGGTGGGGGAGTGTTGGAGGGCCTGGAGGGGGGGAGTGTTGGAGGGCCTGGTGGGGGAGTGTTGGAGGGCCTGGAGGGGGGAGTGTTGGAGGGCCTGGTGGGGGAGTGTTGGAGGGCCTGGTGGGGGGGGGAGTGTTGGGGGGAGGGCCTGGTGGGGGAGTGTTGGAGGGCCTGGTGGGGGAGTGTTGGAGAGCCTGGTGGGGGAGTGTTGGAGGGCCTGGTGGGGGAGTGTTGGAGGGCCTGGTGGGGGAGGGGAGTGTTGGAGGGCCTGGTGGGGGAGTGTTGGAGGGCCTGGAAGGGGGAGTGTTGGAGGGCCTGGTGGGGGAGTGTTGGAGAGCCTGGTGGGGGGGGAGTGTTGGAGGGCCTGGTGGGGGAGTGTTGGAGGGCCTGGTGGGGGGGGGAGTGTGTTGGAGGGCCTGGTGGGGGGGGGAGAGTGGTGGAGGGCCTGGTGGGGGAGTATTGGAGGGCCTGGTGGGGGAGTGTTGGAGAGCCTGGTGGGGGAGTGTTGGAGGGCCTGGTGGGGGAGTGTTGGAGGGCCTGGTGGGGGGAGTGTTGGAGGGCCTGGTGGGGGAGTGTTGGAGGGCCTGGTGGGTGAGTGTTGGAGGGCCTGGTGGGGAAGTGTTGGAGGGCCTGGTGGGTGAGTGTTGGAGGGCCTGGTGGGTGAGTGTTGGAGGGCCTGGTGGGTGAGTGTTGGAGGGCCTGGTGGGTGAGTGTTGGAGGGTGGTGGGGGAGTGTTGGAGGGTGGTGGGGGAGTGTTGGAGGGTGGTGGGGAGTGTTGGAGGGTGGTGGGGGAGTGTTGGAGGGTGGTGGGGGAGTGTTGGAGGGTGGGGGGGAGTGTTGGAGGGTGGTGGGGGAGTGTTGGAGGGCCTGGTGGGTGAGTGTTGGAGGGCCTGGTGGGGGAGTGTTGGAGAGCCTGGTGGGGGAGTGTTGGAGGGCCTGGTAGGGGAGTGTTGGAGAGCCTGGTGGGGGAGTGTTGGAGGGCCTGGTGGGGGGGAGTGTTGGAGGGTGGTGGGGGAGTGTTGGAGGGCCTGGTGGGGGGAGTGTTGGAGGGTGGTGGGGGGAGTGTTGGAGGGTGGTGGGGGAGTGTTGGAGGGTGGTGGGGGAGTGTTGGAGGCCAAAGAGGGGTGAATGTAGTATGGCCTGGTGGGGGGAGTGTTGGAGGGCCTGGTGGGGGGAGTGTTGGAGGGCCTGGTGCTGGAGTGTTGGAGGGCCTGGTGGGGGAGTGTTGGAGGGCCTGGTGGGGGTGTTGGAGGGCCAGGTGGGGGGGGGAGTGTTGGAGGGCCTGGTGGGGGAGTGTTGGAGGGCCTGGTGGGGGAGTGTTGGAGGGCCTGGAGGGGGGGAGTGTTGGAGGGGCCTGGTGGGGGGAGTGTTGGAGGGCCTGGAGGGGGGGGAGTGTTGGAGGGCCTGGTGGGGGAGTGTTGGAGGGCCTGGTGGGGGGAGTGTTGGAGTGCCTGGTGGGGGAGTGTTGGAGGGCCTGGTGGGGGGAGTGTTGGAGTGCCTGGTGGGGGAGTGTTGGAGGGCCTGGTGGGGGGAGTGTTGGAGTGCCTGGTGGGGGAGTGTTGGAGGGCCTGGTGGAGGGAGTGTTGGAGTGCCTGGTGGGGGAGTGTTGGAGGGCCTGGTGGGGGGAGTGTTGGAGTGCCTGGTGGGGGAGTGTTGGAGGGCCTGGTGGGGGGGAGTGTTGGAGGGCCTGGTGGGGGGAGTGTTGGAGTGCCTGGTGGGGGAGTGTTGGAGGGCCTGGTGGGGGGAGTGTTGGAGTGCCTGGTGGGGGAGTGTTGGAGGGCCTGGTGGGGGGAGTGTTGGAGTGCCTGGTGGGGGAGTGTTGGAGGGCCTGGTGGGGGGGAGTGTTGGAGGGCCTGGTGGGGGAGTGTTGGAGGGCCTGGTGGGGGAGTATTGGAGGGCCTGGTGGGGGGAGTGTTGGAGTGCCTGGTGGGGGAGTGTTGGAGGGCCTGGTGGGGGAGTGTTGGAGGGCCTGGTGGGCGGGAGTGTTGGAGGGCCTGGTGGGGGGAGTGTTGGAGTGCCCGGGGTCTGTGATATAGCCTTAGCTTAATAATGCACACTACAGATGCCTGTAAATCAATGAAGCTGATACTCTCACTATCGCCCCGCCTCAAAGGTACCTTAACCCCGCCTCAAAGGTACCTTAACCCCACCTCAACGGTACCTTTGAGAACCCTCTTTTCTCAGAATTCGCAGAGTACCTCTGTCTATTTCTGTCTATTAGTGTAGATTACAAGTGAGAGATGGATGCAGTACTGTTATGAGTGAGGCAGAGCTGGGTTGTGTGTGTCTCTTTTCTCTCTCAGTGCCTGCAGAATCGAGGTATTAGCTCTTGGACCCCGCCTTTCTAACCGTCGGGGTTATACTCACATGTGCTACGCATATTTCTCTAACTCACATTGCACACTTCCCCCAGGGTGCAGCCTGAAGCGTCAGGTGAATGAAACTCCTCCCATTTCACTACACACACAGAAATCCCAATAGCATGATGCGTCAAGTGAACACATGCTCGGATGTATGTTCGAACCCTCGTCACGGCCCTTTGTGGATTTGTCCTCCCATTTATTTCTCTCTCGGTCGGGAATGGAACCCGGGCCCTTTTGGACTACGACTACTGAGCGCTGTCCACTCGGCCGCGGGGCCCTTAGTGTGTGTGTGTGTGTGTGTGTGTGTGTGTGTGTGTGTGTGTGTGTGTGTGTGTGTGTGTGTGTGTGTGTGTGTGTGTACTCACCTAGTTGTGTTTGCAGGGGTTGAGCTCTGGCTCTTTGGTCCCGCCTCTCAACCGTCAATCAACAGGTGTACAGATTCCTGAGCCTATTGGGCTCTATCATATCTACACTTGAAACTGTGTATGGAGTCAGCCTCCACCACATCACTTCCTAGTGCATTCCATTTGTTCCATGTGTGTGTGTGTGTGTGTGTGTGTGTGTGTGTGTGTGTGTGTGTGTGTGTGTGTGTGTGTGTGTGTGTGTGTGTGTGTGTGTGTGTGTACTCACCTATTTGTGCTTGCGGGGGTTGAGCTTTGGCTCTGTGTGTGTGTGTGTGTGTGTGTGTGTGTGTGTGTGTGTGTGTGTGTGTGTGTGTGTGTGTGTGTGTGTGTGTGTGTGTGTGTGTGTGTACTCGCCTAGTTGAGCTGGCAGGGATTGAGCTTTTCACTCCGCTGGTGACATCTCCGCCTGATGTCCCGCCACCGTGACATCAGGTGACATATCTGATGTCACCCCCTTTGTATGTGAGGTGCTTCACCTTCACCTCATCCTCAGGTATATATCATGCGACAAGAAACTTTATCATTCCCGGGCTATTCATGCCCGTGCCACCTCTTAGGTGGCTTAATCTTTATCAATCAATCACTTGATAATCATTCAAACTCTGCCGTTGACAGTGTTAATAAGAGTTAACAAACAGATTAACTTTTGTTAATACGAATGAGCCTTATCCATCAGATAAACAGATGATTAAGGCTCCTTCTTCAAACACGCGTGTAGATGCTCCTGGGATGTGTACAAGAGAAGACACAGACAGACAGACAGACAGAAGCAGGGTGAGACAGTCTCCTACCTCCCTGAGACAGTCTCCTACCTCCCTGAGATAGTCATAAACAGACTTACCTCTCTGAGACAGTCACCTTCTTGCCTGAGACAGCCATAGACAGACTTACCTCTCTGAGACAGTCACCGTCTTGCCTGAGACAGTCATAGACAGACTTACCTCTCTGAGACAGTCACCTTCTTGCCTGAGACAGCCATAGACAGACTTACCTCTCTGAAACAGTCACCTTCTTGCCTGAGACAGCCATAGACAGACTTACCTCTCTGAGACAGTCACCTTCTTGCCTGAGACAGTCATAGACAGACTTACCTCTCTGAGACAGTCACCTTCTTGCCTGAGACAGCCATAGACAGACTTACCTCTCTGAGACAGTCACCGTCTTGCCTGAGACAGCCATAGACAGATTTACCTCTCTGAGACAGTCACCGTCTTGCCTGAGACAGCCATAGACAGACTTACCTCTCTGAGACAGAGCCGTATGAGGAGGTGGGCGAGACAGACTTACCTCTCTGAGACAGTCACCGTCTTGCCTGAGACAGCCATAGACAGACTTACCTCTCCGAGACAGTCACCGTCTTGCCTGAGACAGCCATAGACAGACTTACCTCTCTGAGACAGTCACCTTCTTGCCTGAGACAGCCATAGACAGACTTACCTCTCTGAGACAGTCACCGTCTTGCCTGAGACAGCCATAGACAGATTTACCTCTCTGAGACAGTCACCGTCTTGCCTGAGACAGCCATAGACAGACTTACCTCTCTGAGACAGAGCCGTATGAGGAGGTGGGCGAGACAGACTTACCTCTCTGAGACAGTCACCGTCTTGCCTGAGACAGCCATAGACAGACTTACCTCTCCGAGACAGTCACCGTCTTGCCTGAGACAGCCATAGACAGACTTACCTCTCTGAGACAGAGCCGTATGAGGAGGTGGGCGAGACAGACGCCGGCGGTGGCCGTGGAAACGGTGACAGCCAGACCTCGCCACGTACCGAACATGTACCCCGCCGACACGTTCACCACTATGTATCCCCACATGAACGGCTGCAAAGAGGGAACGTAGAGGATGAGGAGGAGGGCGGGTGACAGGTGAACGGTTGTGTGGGGAGGAGAGAGAGAGGAGGGGGGGGGGATGGATTGGGAGGGAGGAGGGGCGGGCAAGGCACCTGGGCATCGCTGGGTACAACCCTAGTATACTAGTATACCCTAGTATACTACAATGTCGGTTTGTCTTGTCTGTAAGTCCAACGTTGGAGGCCAGGCTTTCAGGATCAGCCTCGCCCAAATTTGCAGGGGGATTGGTCTGGGGTGCGGGCCAATCATAGGCTAGATGGAGTAAAGCCAAAATTAAGTGCTTTTAAGAAATATTAGCTTTAAAAAATATTAAGAAATATTTTCTTCAATATTTTAAGGAATATTAATATTATTTTCAGGTAATTTTCATGGCGTCAAGAAAAATGAAGAAAGCAAATGGAAAAAAATAATGCATCTTAAAGACTCATACAAAGAAGTTTCAGTACTTCTTGATGGATGCAACGAGGGACGAGACACCAAGAGAATGGGAACGAAAGAGTCAAAGGGGGAAAATGGAGATAAATATATAGATAGATAAAGCTAGAGAGATAGAGGCAGAGAGAGATAGAAGGGATACATAGAAACAGACACCGGGTACCCCGCCTTAGTAATCAAAGAGAAAGAATATCTGCCTGTTTCAAAAAAAATTCTTATAGTAATATAATCCAATATTTACTAATCTCGGGAAAATTTTCATAACTTTCTTTTTATGTTATTCATACTTCGGCCATAGTAGCATAAAATAATAATAATAATAATAATAATAATAATAATAATAATAATAATAATAATAATAATAATAATAATAATAATTTATTTAGAAACAGTACATACATAGTTGCAGCGTTACAGTACAAATATTTTGTTAGATTTAAAGATAGTACATACAATAGTAGAGTAGTACATACAATAGTAGTACAATAGAGGTAGTACATACAATACCTAAAGCCACTAGTACGCATAGCGTTTCGGGCAAGATCCTCGATCCAAAAGATCAAAAATAGGGCAAGATCCAAAATAGTTGATCCTCTCACACCTTCAGAGGTTTCCTCAAGCCCCGTCCCCCTTTCTCAAAGCAAACACGTAACTATTATATTTTTATGAATATTTCACAACCATTAGGCTCCTCCCGCCAGCAGACCACCCACATGCCAATGGTAGACATTTATATTATTTATGTAAGAGACAGAAAGATAGTCAGCAAAAAGAGACAGAGATAGACAGACAGACAGACTGGGTCGACCAGTGCCAAGAGAGACATACAGAAAGACAAATAGAAAAAAGAGACAGACAGGAACACAGAGAGACGTCTCCAGCAACGTCTTCCGCGACGTCTCCGGCGAGGTCACCAGCGACGTCTCCCGCGACGTCTCCAGCAACGTCTCCGGCGAGGTCATGATGCTGCTGTAGTACTCGTTAAGACGCGCCGAGTGAGCAAGAACCGGGTATACTTGTTCCCATTACGGAACAGTGTAGCTGTGAGGCTCCTTGGAGGCGCTGTCAGAGAACAGGTGGCACTCCTTGATGGTCACGGGCGAGTGCCAGTGCCAGGATCAGCCTCATGTGGTCACGGGCGAGTGCCAGTGCCAGGATCAGCCTCGTTACATTGTGGCAGAACCAGAGCCCCATCCTCGTCACACAAAACATATAAAACACTTTGTATAGAGTAACTGCCATCTTCTATACTTCCCTAATAAGCAATTAGGGGTAAAAAAAAATTAAACAGGGACAAGACATAATCAAAAAATTGTAACTTAGTGTTATGATTGGTATAAATCAATTATGATTTATGAAAAGTTCTGTATCTCACTCAGATTATTCAATAAAAAACGGGGGTGAATCCAGGGTGAATCCAGCAACCTGAGAGGTAGAATTCAGTAGTGTGTGTTGTGTCAGTGAGAGGGAGTTGGTAATATTGAAGAGGATGTGTCTGTTGGTCCCATTGAACACCTCCCAACCAAAAGTTCGGTCAGGTCTTTCATGCATTTAGTTCGCCGTATTGTTCCACTGGGAGGTTTTTTTATATGCTAGGACAAACGCAGCATATGCATTGGGAGCGGGGTGGGGGGGGGGGGGGGGGGGGGGGGGGGGGGGGATAGGCCAAGCTTTACGAGCCTTGTCTACGAGCCGCCACCTCTCTCTCTCTCTCTCTCTCTCTCTCTCTCTCTCTCTCTCTCTCTCTCTCTCTCTCTCTCTTTCTCTCTCTCTCCGTAGCACAGTTGGCGTCGTTTTTCGAAAATCGAGGATCCCTGATTCGATTCCCTAGCAGGACAGAAAGGGTTGGCCACACTTCCTTTCGCCTAATCCATTCTGTTCGCCCAGCAGTAAATAAGGTCGAGTCGGGAGTTAGGGAACTGTTGTGGGTTGCATCTTGGGGGAGAGGGTCAGTAGCTCGATCTAGGAGGGACCTCGATCTCACACCTGAAATACATATACACACACAGGCTTCCTGAAGTACATATGTACACAGGCTTCCTGTACCCACTAGAGGGAATTTTTATTAAGCTACCTCTCCCATATATATAATATATATATATCGTATGTTATGTATGAAAACGATACCATAATAGGTTTTATGGGGTGCAGTAAACACATGATAGCATGGTGGCACCTAAACCTCCCGATGTGTAGGCCACTAAACGCTTGGGTTATAGCCACGGGATTCAATAAATCTATAACATTATGAGTCCAGAATGCGTCAGGAGCTCAGACAGCTGTTGTGTTGAATTCCCAAATCAGCTGACGTTCGTGAGTGCTGGATATGCGGTCTGTGGCGGTGGTGGTATGTGCAGTTTTTATTATTATTATTATTATTATTTTCTAGCACAGATGTGAATGGCGGGATCCAAGAGCTAATAGCTCGATTCTGCAGACACAAATACAGTGCTAACCAGATTGTAAATAAAAGACAGATACATTGTCTTCTGTCCTCCATGGATTGGTTCAGCGATTGGTTGACCAATCAACCGCAGAAGGTGATTGTAGTGCTTTTAAAATGCTAATCTAACCTACAAACATAAGTACATAAATACACACACTTACGTTTGTCCTACATATCCAGTGTTCGAGGTGTCTTTTATAGTGTCATTAGTGTGCGTTTACAAACGTGAAATGGAATTCTGAAAAAAAAATAATATATATATATATATATATATATATATATATATATATATATATATATATATATATATATAGGGGGGGGTATAATTATAGGGACCCACAGTCTCATATAGTGATATATATATATATATATATATATATATATATATATATATATATATATATATATATATATATATATATATATATATATATATATTGGTGTATACTGGCAGCAGGTTTTCTTTCAAACATGTTTCATTGAATATGACCGCATATTCTGTATTTATTATTTTCTGGAGATATAAAGAAAATAAATAAATACAGAATATGCGGTCATATTCAATGAAACATATATATATATATATATATATATATATATATATATATATATATATATATATATATATATATATATATATATATATATATATATATGCGGTGTCCAGCATTGTGTCCACTAACATTCAGACATTCTCTCTCTCTCTCTCTCTTATATAGACTGGCTTCACAAGACTGAGTACATTTTCTGGAAATGCTTTTCTAGTGTTCGGCAGCTTCTCATGTGCTGCTGATGATGCTGTTTACGTGAGCATAGCGTGAGAGGCCCCCAATTATTGCAACTTTCATTTTGTTTTTTATTTTACTATTTTTGCAGTGGTCTTTTCGTTATAAGATTATAGGTTTCAGTCCTTGTAGTACAGTACACATAGGTTTCAGTCCTTGTAGTACAGTACACATAGGTTTCAGTCCTTGTAGTACAGTACACATAGGTTTTAGTCCTTGTAGTACAGTACACATAGGTTTCAGTCCTTGTAGTACAGTACACATAGGTTTCAGTCCTTGTAGTACAGTACACATAGGTTTCAGTCCTTGTAGTACAGTACACATAGGTTTCAGTCCTTGTAGTACAGTACACATAGGTTTCAGTCCTTGTAGTACAGTACACATAGGTTTCAGTCCTTGTAGTACAGTACACATAGGTTTCAGTCCTTGTAGTACAGTACACATAGGTTTCAGTCCTTGTAGTACAGTACACATAGGTTTCAGTCCTTGTAGTACAGTACACATAGGTTTCAGTCCTTGTAGTACAGTACACATAGGTTTTAGTCCTTGTAGTACAGTACACATAGGTTTCAGTCCTTGTAGTACAGTACACATAGGTTTCAGTCCTTGTAGTACAGTACACATAGGTTTTAGTCCTTGTAGTACAGTACACATAGGTTTCAGTCCTTGTAGTACAGTACACATAGGTTTTAGTCCTTGTAGTACAGAATGCAAAAACATAATGCCAAACATTTTGGTAGAATGTACTAAGCTTGAGAACGTTGTGATGAGATGCTGTGTTAAAGGATCGTAGATTCTTTAGATGAGATCACAGTAACCTCAGACTCACGCTCGTAGTACACTGTGAAAATGTAGTGAGGTATGTAGTACAGTGAGCTGCAGATCCCAACCACACACACACACACACTTTCACAACCACAACCATGCCCAACAACCACAACCATACTTACAATCACATACCCTCGACCACAACCACACCCGTGTTCGTAAACACAACCACAATATATTTGTCCAGAGCCACACCAAGCCAAAAACAACCGCACTCAACCATACCATAGCTCCACACCCACAACCGTACCCACACCACCAGTCAGACCCTCCCCCACCCCTCACCCCCTCACGCCCACAGACAGACCCTCGCCCCCACGCCCACCGACAGATCTTACCAGGGACACGAGGCTGAAGAGTGCAAGGAAGACTAGCACCACCACCCACGCCTCCTGCACCGCCACCCACAGCAGCACACGCCTCACGTAGTCACGAGAGAGGAAAGCCCCCACGCCCACCACAGCCACGCCCACGGCCGTCACCAACACGTTCGTCAGGTGAGTCCTGCAGGAGAGAAGAGAGAGGTCAGGTGCGTCCTTAAGGAGAGAGAGCCTATTTCTTATATGATTGTTACTTAAAGTTTATTCCTAATGATTCATATAATAAGCTTTTAAAATAAATGGGTTTCTAGAAGTAGGCTTCAGATGAGCTAAGGTCAGATAACAGCTCTTGCTTGTAGTCCTTCAGTCGACTGCCCTCATGAACCTAGTCTTAGTTAACAAAAAGTAGAGAGCATGGGAAGGGGGGGGGGGGAGGGGGGAAGAGAAGAGAAAGAGAGAGATAGACAGAGAGAGATCCCAGGATTGTGAGATATATGATAAACACACACACAACATGTGCTTGATATATATATATATATATATATATATATATATATATATATATATATATATATATATATATATATATATATAAGACATGTAACGAGGGAAAGCACCTTAATAGAAACCAAACAAAATATATTGGTTCAGTGTATTAACTAACAGAGTCGAATTAAACAATCAAATACATACATAAATACAGCGAACGAATAAGGAGCAAACAGAAAGTTTTATCTCTCTACCTGTTTCAATAATAAAAGCAAAACAGAAAATACCTTAGCAGATAATATAAAAAAATAAAGGAATTTATAAATAGACACAACCTCCAAACAGCAATGTGCAACAATTTGCACCGACACCCTCGCTTACAATTCTGACCTCCTGGTAACACCACCTCTCACGGTCCTCCACATAATGTTAAATTAACAATTTATTACCCCCATCCCACCCCTCCCCTACCACACACACACACACACATACACATACCGCCCTTCTCAACTACACAATATCAGTCCCCACAACTCTGTATTCTTTAGTAAAGTTAACTGTTTTATTTCTTTAGTGGTAGTAGCCTCTGCCTCCAGCGCCAGCCCGCGCCCAGGGAGCCTTAACAGTCCCGTGTGACGTCGTCACCTTATGATTTAAGACCAAATGCGTCACATAAGTCACCGGGAAGCCAGGAATCTGGGTCAGTCCCACACTTTTGATTTTTTATAACATATTTTACTTGGAACGATGATAATGATCAATTAAGAAGATTACTACAATGCCGAAATGCTTAAATTAAGGTGAAGAAAAATACTCAGTACTTATGTAAGTGTATTATTAAACCGAATTTTCCAATGAAATTGCATCGTTTATCAAGGTGGTGTATTGATACAAGGATTCTAAATGGTCGGGTTCATATGTCAGGGAGAGTAGCCTCATGGGGCGTCCATCATTAGACGACGTCATGATTCTGCGCCTCCAGGGACTCCCTGATGGATGTCGGAACTCCTGAAGAACTATCAAATGCCCTCAGGATTGTAGAAAGCGTGGGCCTGGGTCCCGCTGAAACAATATCTCCCACTCTCAACACCACAAGGTCTGTGCTTATATAAATTAATCAAATTAGTAAATTTAGCTTCATTGAGAATAATTCGGTGGTTTTTCCGGTGAAACTAATTTGATTAATTTATATGAGCACAGACCTTGAGAGTAGTTATACAGAGCAACCCTGACAACACTGGGGGTTGTCATTACAATATTACAACTCGATTAACTCTACCCTGCATGAGGCTACGATATTTCCCACACTAGCCTGTGCAACACACACTCCAAACCCCCATTCCAGTCCTCGTTTCCAACTCTGTTCATGCTTTATGTATGTATTTATTTATTGTACAGCTGCTGAGAGCCGTGTGAGGCCTGCAGTATCTTTTGATCCCTGTTAGTAATCTCAAGTGGATTTGTAAGACCACAACATATCTAACACCGTTAACACCTATTGGTGTGAATTCCCATTGCTTCCCACTGGTTATTGAAGTGCCCAGACCTGTTCCACTGTCATCCTGTACTGCTGTTCACTTGTTATATATCTCCCATTGGCTCAGTTTCAAGAAACTGTGAGTGAGGAACTAGGACTTGATTTTTCTTATCGTTTCTCTCAGCGTAGACTACAAAGAAATTACTAATTGCCTCTAATTAAAATTATATTTAACATCTAAATTTGATGATAGGTATTAATAGCTTGTAAATCTTCTTCGTTAAATACTATTTACATAACCAGACCATGTTAAATAATCACTATATAAATGTAATAACAGTTACCAAGGTAACAAAAATCCTCCTCAGAGAACTGAAAAATATTAAAATAAAAAAAAATCTATAAACCTAACAAAATTATCAGCTACATTTTTTTCCGAGAAGCACAGTTCAATGGGTCCTTTAGTCAATTGAAGGTCTCGTTCTACATAAATTATATTCATATCATAGATTTTCTTTCGATTCCATAATTTGCACAACAATTTTAATACAAAAAATTAAATAAATAGTCTGTTTATTGCACACAATTTCCGTAGTTTGAACGACTGTTAACTCACACATTGCCATATTCTTACTGTTATTCCGCAACTACTTCTATTGAAGGATTCGCTCGTTGGCCGCCAGGGGGTCAAGCCACGCTCGCTTGACCTGCCAGTTGCTACTTAGAGTTGCGAGAAGGCGGGTGCGGTTTGGCGTGTCGGCGCCATGGGGCCCCCCCCCCTCCCCCCTGTTTTGCGTGCCCAGTCAATAGGCCTCGAGTTTTCTGCTCGGGCGGGTTATCCCGAGGTGGGTTTGGTGCTGTGTGACATGCTGCGGGTCCCTGTGGGGGGATGTTTATGGTGTTGAGCTGGTGTCTGCCCGTAGAGTGGTTGTTAAACTAACGACGGAGGAGGTGTATAGGGCGTTTTTACGTCGGTAGGAGGGGCGGACCTTGCCCCTGCCCGAAGGTGCGGGCACTGTGACTGTCTCCGATCGCAGTGGTGCCATCACGTATGTAAGCGTGCATGGGGCGCCCCTGGAATTTCCGGAGGGACTGCTGAGGCGTTATTTCGGCCAGTTTGGGGCGGTCGTCAGTGTGCGGTTGCACCTGCTCTCCTCGGGTCCGCTAAAGGGTGTGCGGTCCAATATTCGCACCCTAGGAATGAGGCTGCGGGCGGACATTCAATCTCAAGTGAGGCTTGAGGAACACAGCCGCACTTTGCATACGAGCGAAAAGTGACGGTTTTTTTTAAGAGGACGGGTTACACGGTGGCAGTGTTCCTCTACCACCAAGCACAAGTCTGAGCCCCGTAAGGCAGAGAGTGTAAATGTCAACACGTGTTAGGATGAACGTTAAACCTATTTCTTTTGTGTGTGGCGCTGGAGGCAAGGTTGTCCAGCCTTCCTGCAGAGTCTTGTTTTTTTTCACCTTGGGCTTCCCTGACGGGTCCCTCCCCCTCTCTACCTCTTACATGGCACCACCCCATGCCTTCCCTTCCATACTATGGCACCACCCATGCCTTCCCTTCCATACTATGGCATCACCCATGCTCCCTTCCCCTACCATGGCACCACACATGCCTTCCCCCCCCCCTCCCCTATCACACTAAAACCCCTTTCCGCCTACCTATTTATAGATCCCCTACTATGTCTATATATAAAATTATGTCTCTCTCTCTCTCTCTCTCTCTCTCTCTCTCTCTCTCTCTCTCTCTCTCTCTCTCTCTCTCTCTCTCTCTCTCTCTCTCTCTCTCTCTCTCTCTCACCCAGGTTTCCAGGAGTACTGTCCTGGGATTATCACTACCAGAATCTGGGCCCACTGAAGCCTCATTTGTTTCTGGAGTTTATGCAACTTGACCGCTAACACTGTATTGATACATCATGACGGTAAAGTTTCAACTGGAGCAACGTATTATTCGTTGCCTGTGATGAGGTGCTCCGTGATGATTATATGCCTTAATACTTGTAACACCGTACGAGTCACGTCAGTAACACATCACAGTTTACCGTGAACCTTGCGCACTTATTAACATCTTTATTGACGAAATTAATTACAATTTTGCCTAATCTGAGGATTTCAATTAAGCCTTATTAAAGTGGGGATAATGCTGGTATTCACTGTCACGCAGGACAGAGGGTCTTACACAAGACTGCCGCTGACAGCCGCAGCAGCAGCAGCAGCTGCTGACCGAGGCCACTAACCAGTCGATTAAGGCAGTGTCTGGGATGCTCCCGGACGCAGGTTCGAATCCTCATTACGGCCCTTGTGGATTTGTTCAACTAACCTTGTACTCTTGGAGGTGGTGAAGTTGGTCAGCGCCTCCAGTCGTGGACTGTTGCCTAGGAAGACTCCTCCTCCGCCTCCTGTTCCTCCTCCTCCTCCTCCTCCTCCTCCACCTCCACAGGTGTCAGTAGGAGTTACTGAGGAATTCTTAAGGCACCAGTTTGGCAAAAGACGCATCTTGTTTTTCTCTTGAGGTCTTGTGGTCCGCTCACTAACCTCGGCCTCTCTTCGGTCGACTGATAATTACCTCTTAAGTTTCGTCTATATTTCCAATGTTCGAATGTAGTTGTGGAGAGTCAATATATATATTGTAATTCCTTTTTCATAATCAGCTTATTCGGACAATTATTCAAATTTGGACTGAGTTATCTAGGAACGTGCGGTGTTTAATTTGGGCTTAAATTACCTATCTTTATCCGTAAGCAAACGATATAGATATTTCTGGAGCCTCTGGGAGCATGGTAGGCTCCCTTAACAACACTATATAACTTTCATGCCCTGTAAGCTCGGTGGTGATGATAAGAGCGTGTTTCTCTATATGAACTGAACTGATTTTCGTCGTACAGCTTCTTATACATATATGTTAACGTCTGCATTAACTCTTATCACATATTATTCACTTTTTAGGTTCACTTGGGTAAAAAAAACACTAAAAAAAAATATGCATCGGTTAATATGGCGGTTCACAGAAATTCCACAGTTGCCTATAGAGCAGTGGAACAGTTAGCATTGCTTTCTCTCAGACTGGGTGCTTGATAATCGAAAATTATGGGAGATTTTTTCTCAAGATGAGTATCAAAGTGCACACACATACAAAACACACAAACACCTGAACACACACAGTGACTCCATACACAGTTTCAAATGTAGATACGATAGAGCCCAGTAGGCTCAGGAATCTGTACACCAGTTGATTGACAGTTGAGAAGCGGGACCAAAGAGCCGGAGCTCAACCCCCGCAAGCACAAATAGGTGAGTACAGCCACATACTGGAGGAAGGACGTCGCCATCTAGACGACTGAACAAGACACAAGTCTTAGCAGAGGTGATAAAAGATTAGACTACAATGCTAAACAATTGCCAGTCAACGTGGGGAAGGTTTTAACTGGAGGAGAAGGATGACACAGGCAGAAGAGCCAGATAGAATCTCTCCGTGACCAGTTAACGGGCGCTGTATAGGCCAATGACAATCTTGTAATTGAGAAATTGTGGCCAGAATGTTGGAATATAGGAAATTCATTGTGCCTCCCATGATAGCTCAGTGGAAGAGTTTCCACCTCACACCGTGGGATCGACGGTTCGAGTCTTCTAGTGCCTAAGTAAATAATAAACACACACACACACATATATATATACATATATATATATATATATATATATATATATATATATATATATATATATATATATATATATATATATATATATATATAAAATATGACTTGAACCGGCGTCCTGGTGATTCCCAGACACCTGCCTTAACCCAGCTGTGTCTGGGTACAAGTGACAGGATGAACAACCCAGCGGGTTTTCTTCCTATTAGGGAGTGTTGTACATGCTGCTATGGCGGAGTCCACTCACATCATGAGTGACGCTGCTCAATAAAAAATAAATAAACAACGTTCCTATACAACTGGTGGGAGAATGAAACTGGTGTGGGAATAAGGTTGTCATACATCTAGGTGGAACGTTTGCATATACAACCGAGGGAGGAACAACGTTCTCATACATCTCATGGGCTGAAACGTTTCCATACATGCAGCTGCAGTGGGCAGACTAACGTTTCCACATAGGTATCGAGAAACAACGCTTGTATACAATTGGCGAGGAACAAAGTTATCATACAGCTTGTAAGGGGAACGTTGTTCTACAACTGGTGGTCGGGGGGGGGGGGGGGGGGAACGTTTAGGATACACACGAACGTTCCTGATCGCGCGTGTTGCGTTCAGAGGCTATAATATAGCTTTTCCTGCTTCTCATTCTTTTATATTTCATAAAATACAAAAAAAGCTTTTCTTCACGCTTCCATCATTTATAACTTTCTCCTCAGAAATGCTTATGATTCTAGTTAGGTGAACTCGACTATAATTTCGCCATTTATTTACCCCCAGAATTTCCGTCCAAGTTTCGCTATAATAAACAATCAACATTCCATACGCTACGTAAGAATTAATTTTTTTTTCAATCGAAGAAACAATCACTGGGCAACTACAATCGTCCGAAAGGAAGGATTTAGGATATGGCGGGAGCGGGCGGCAGCCACGTCAGCATCGCTCCGGGGCCGCACCAGCACCACCTCCCTCCACCTCAGCCAAACACCGACTGATCTCTGCCATTCCACCTCTCGTGCCCCCCGATACAGATGCCAAGCACCAAAATTTACCTCATCTACCAAACCAGTAATCATCGTGTACCAAACAATTACTCAATCATTGGCTACTTGTTTATCTTCATAATTTCTCATAATTAACACGAATTTTCTGGATGCACAAACCCTGCTTTGAGGATATTGTAGACAATAATCAATCGACCGCAGATTTTGTCTATTACGGGAAATTACAGCAGAAAAAGCCATTAAAAGCCTCGCTTGCGAGAAATATATGATCTAACAGTTCGCGTATTGTAGGTGCTGGATTCATGATAGCTTTCCTTATGAAAGAGTTTGTATAGGCACTCGTAAAACAAATATTTTAAATACCAGGTGTGTTTTGATATTAGAGTGACTGAGGGAGATATTGTCGGTATTCTTAAACCATATCTGATATTGCAATAGTGAATAATAACAATAAATGCTATATATTTATTCTATGAGAGAATGTCTGCTTGTATCTTTGTTCAAAGTTGGAGGGCACACATGCATTTGCATTGCCTAAATTGGCAGGGGGAATGGTCTAGGGTACGGGATGGACATAGGCTGGTGCAACCCGTTCTCGCACTTGCTTAAGTCAATATTGGCTTATTTAATAAGTGCATATGTGACATACTAATTGTGAATATTTTAGTTTACCTTGAAAAGCTTCATAGAAAACACCGACCTCACCTAACCTTCTTAGTATGTTAAGATAAGCATCTTATTGCTTCTTAATTACAATTATTACTTAACCTATACCGTTGATAGGTTAAGTAATAATTGTAAATAAGAAGCAATAAGATGCTTATCTTAACATACTAAGAAGGTTAGGTGAGGTCGGTGTTTTCTATGAAGCTTTTCAAGGTAAACTAAAATATTCAATCAATTAGTATGTCACATATGAACTTATTAAATAAGCCAATATTGACAGAAGGCAAGTGCGAGAACGGGTTGCAAGCCTATTACAACCCTTTAAGAACAAGGTCGCATTTATAGCGACCTCCTGGGAATTTTATGAAGTTTGAAATCAGGGACGTGCTTTCCATAGATTTGTATCAAGTTTTTAGGTGTGTGTGTGTGTGTGTGTGAGTGTGAGTGTGTGTGTGTGAGAGAGAGAGAGAGAGAGAGAGGGAAGGATGAAATTTACAGAAACCTGTAAATACAATTTATAATGTGATTACAGAATATATTTGGATCAATATTTTTGTTATTTTACAAGCCATTAGTTAATCTGAAGGGTGCAAGCTTCTATTAACTCTCAAGTTGTATAGAGAATTGCACATTCTCTGTACAGTTATCTGTAGCAATGTGAGGATTCAATATTTTTAATGAATACTGTTGTCTCCAGCCAAAAATTTGCAAGATTTTTTTCATTTGTGTTAAGTGATAAAATGGTTTTGTTGCAAACCTGTTGCCCAACAGCGTTCCCTAATTTTACGTATTTAGGGTGGCAAAATCGTCGATATTCTCTGTTCATTTAAATGGAACTTCTCTCTGGTAGTTACATGTCGCAACTCTTTGTTTGGTAGTTTGTTCTTGACTTGCAGAGAAGCTATATAGGGGGGAAATGCCATTTCTAAACCTCGTAGAATGCACACAGACCAGCCCCATCTCTCGTCAGCTTGGACGGCATTGGGTTTAGTACAATAACTTTGCTTCACGACATATGTGCAGCCCTATCTTGAATCTTGTGTAACAGCTCAAGAGACGACTAGACAAGCATCCCAAATTAGTGGTGTGCACTCCATTTTTAGATCTGATTTGGGAGTTTACAGAGTGCTATCCATCCCCCTTGGCATCCATTAGTGATGAGCTGCCGTCTTTAAACAAGCCAGTTTCCTATCCCATTTATTTGGCTTCAATATTTTTCATCAATTTCTACTCCCAACATGGTAATTGATGGGTCGCATAATAGTGTGCTCTTGTCTAGTCTTACGACGGGAGGATATATTTGGTGCTTCACTGAGATAGACATCAATGGGGTTTTATCTCGAGCAACAACAACTTCCCTCCGTCGCCCCCAAGCTAAGACAGTTTAAAGGGCATCATTGATGTGATTCACGTCATCTTTCTTGTCTCCTGAGAGAGTCAGTGTACAAACACCTGTATAGGCACTAGCCTATATTATTCGCGTTAGGATTTCATCGAAATAGATGTTACACGGCAGTGGTTTTATCACACTGCTCCTTGGCACATTTTCCCTGGGACACACTCGCCTCTATGGGCATTCTCTATGTATATTTTAACGACAACAAAGACGGTTCGCTTACTTAAGTAATTACTAAAGAGGTGCAGAAGCTTCCCATCATCTCCAAGTGTCTGGAGCTGACACACACATACGCCACACCCTACCAAATGTTGCAGCAATATCCAAGGTTATGACGTGTGAATATCCTTCCCTACACTCATGACTTGGTCCGTCTTGGTGTCAACTGCAGTAGCAGATGTGATGTGCTTCTCTTATCTCTAGCGCCATGTTGTTACAATACTTAGTATGTAGTTTCGATCAAGGTGCTTTTATACCCCAACCACTTGGATTTGACGGTAAAACGACGGTCTCGCTTCATGCAGGTCGGCGTTCAATCCCCGACCGTCCAAGTGGTTGGGCACCATTAACCCCAAATCCTTATCCTGATCCATTCCTAGTTCTATACAGTCGTAATGGCTTGGCGCTTTCTCCCCATAGTTCCCTTCAATAATGATTGTTATTAGATATCATTATAACGACAATATGCAAGCGTATTAAGACTATAGTGTTAAACTGATATCTTGTTTGAATTTTTGTGAACAGGGATGTACATATGGTTGTTATTATTAAGTATTGTTATTGATTACTTATATTACCGCTATAAGAGGTACTGTAGCCAACGTAATTATTTTTAAGTATAGTATCCCCCACCTTGTCTATTGTAGAGAACTGTATTGACTCCTGCACCCGAGCTATGTCAATAGGCCGTTCTCCCTCTTCGCCCTTACATCATTACACACACAGATCACACTAACCGGACTATTGCAGTGTACTATCCTACCTGGATTACGGTAAACTATTCCAGTATAGAGACGTCGTCTACTAACAAATATTAACGCACTCTTGAAAGGTTGAGGCGAGACAGGAACTCTTGCTGGAAGTAAACCAGAAGAGGCTGTGGGCGAGTCCTGACCTTGCATACCCACCTCACCCAGACAATTAATTTACTGAGCGAGACAACGTTAATGCCAACCACTTCTTCCGAGAGCTTCAACGCGACTCGCTGGAATCGACAATTTCACGCTCCTCAAACATCAATGCGGAACACACAATACGGAATATTTTTTGTCTCGAAAAGGGGAATAATCTCGGTTATACACAAAAAGCATTTTATACATCTCATATTATTTTGCGTTACCACAAAATTGTACTAGTTAATCTCAAGTGTATACCCTGCTGTGTATAGACATGCTGTGTGTGTTTAACATGGCTTCTTAAAAAATCAAATCACTACGAAACCCCTATAATCATGTGCTCTAATTTTGTTTAACTATTATTTTAATTTAAATAGGGAGCCCTCTTGACAAGTCTTCGGCTTTCTTCCATCTCTTGGAGTTCAGCCAGAATGCCAGAGGAAAAGTAATAGTCGGGTCACTTTGGCACCACGCCATTTGATACTCCCATCATTGATGCCAACTCACCCATGTTGGACAAGTACCCCACAGCAATTACTGTGCAAAATTGGGTGAGGCTAGCTTCAAACATCTGGCCTCCAGCCTTGGACAGACTGGCAAATTGATTGATTGATGAAAATTAAGTCACCCAAGAGGTGGCACGGGCATGAATAGCCCGCAATGGCAGTAATTGTTGTTTTAGAATCAGCTACTTGGAACAAAATGTTCCAAGTACCACGGGCTATGGTGAACCCACTGTGGATTTACCTGGCACAGGAGCAGGGCCGGTAATGGCAGACAAACGTCCTCTTTTATAGATACTGTATACTAGATACCTGGTACCTGGCTGCACCTGGGTCCATCTTCCCCCCTCTATCATCTTTCTCCCATATTCCTCTTCCTGAGCCCCTGGCCCCCCTCCCCCCTTCTCCTCCAACATCCCCTCTACCCATCTCACCTTTCTCCCATACCTGCCATGATTCAGCCTGAGAAGTTGGGCGAGACTAGACCCGAACATCTGGTTCCAACCTCGGACAGACAGATAAACAGATGGGGCATTTTATTTCATATACATACTCAATGGGGTACCTGGCTGCATCCACACCACCACCTGCCTCTGCTCTCACTCAGTCTCCCACCTCTGTTTCCCTCTACCATTCTCCATTTCTTGTGACCCTGTCTCTCTCTCTCTCGCCCCACTCCTTTCAACATGGAAGAGACACAGACAGACCCGGTGTCACTCCAGGTTTTGGGTCGACGCCATGTGTAAACTCTATAAGCAACAATGGGTCATGATCTCATCCAGCCGCTTATGACTGCCCTTAGGCAATAAATCTAGGGCATTGCCCAGCTACCATCCTCCAATTTCACGGGGCAACCCGTTCTCGCAAATTCGCATAGTCAATATTGACTTATTAACTACGTGCATAGGTGATATACTAAAGATAATAGATACCCTTAAAAAAGCTTCATAGAAAACACCGACCTTACCTATCCTTCTTAGTATGTTAAGATAAGCATCTTATTGCTTCGTAATTACAATTGTTACTTAACCTATTATAGGTATAGGTTAAGTAATAATTGTAATTACGAAGCAATAAGATGCTTATCTTAACATACTAAGAAGGTTAGATAAGGTCGGTGTTTTCTATGAAGCTTTTTAAGGGTATCTATTATGTTTAGTATATCACCTATGCACGTAGTTAATGAGTCAATATTGACTATACGAATTTGCGAGAACGGGTTGCACGGGGGGGTTGGCATTATGGGGCCCGACTCCCCACCTCTCTTAATTGAACTAATTAGAACTAATAGAACTAACCACAATCAGCCTATTACAGTACCTGACCCTAGACGATTCACCCTGCAACCAAGTTGGGCAAGGCTAAGCATCCAGCCTCCAACCTTAGATACATACTGACATTGTTATCTATACTAGGGAGTACCCTATCTCTATCCATGTCTCTCTCTCTCTCTCTATTCCTTTAACCCCTCGTCCCCATCTCCTTGGTTCCCCCTCAAGAACCACTGAAGAAAACTAAATGGGTCTCTCAGATTGCTTTTTTCTTCCTCCTTTTACTTTTTTCTTTTCATTAACAACTCCAGAGAAGAGCCTGCGGGATATTTCGCACTTGACTCCTTGAAAATGGCACAGGGGCCTTTATAATTATTAATAGTTATTAAAGCTTTTAAATTAAGCCTACCCCAAACATATTTAAAGATGTGGGGGGAATAATCTGGTTTGTGACTAGGGGGCAACTTACTGTTAGCAGGAAATTTGTCAATTTTCCAGAGAACTGTGAATAATGGTGCATATTACTACAAGTTGTATATATTTTTTTTAAACAAAGGAGACTGGTAAGCTGTAGTGGGCTTAGCCGCAACTCGCCTCACTCTCTATTATATATTCGACTGCTCCAGCCAAATTATATTCACTTGAACTATGCCATTGAAAATATCGACAATCAACGAAATGCATGTTTTAGCATAATGCCATAAGAAAACTGTAAAATGAACTTTGAGAGAGATCTTGTCAATATCCTTTTCAACTAAAGAAAACCGTAATAAATATTTAGAAGATGCAAGATTGGATATTATATGATTCTATCTTGTTAAATACCACACTAAGACTCATCTAGCACATTATTTTCTATGTAATAAATAAGTTTCTATTGTGTAGTTTACTGAAGACAGTATTTAGTGAAAATGGTTACAAGGACGAAGAGAAAGTAGTGAAGGGTACGGAAGCTGGACAAATAGAAAGGTAGTAAAGGACTGGTTAAGTAATAAAGGGTACGGAAGGTGGTAAAGGATAGGGAAGGTGGTGAATGGTAGAGGAAAGTGAAAGTTTTTAGAAAGTGAATATGTCTATGGGGGATTTTGCTTCTCTGTAAATTTGCAGAAAACAGTAAAGTTAAAGGATTGAAAAGTTGTGGGAAAAAAATATGGTGCAAGGATAATGTCTTGGAACATTAATGGGTTGAAAAATAGAGCAATGAATGTACATCATTTTAATATTTTAGTTAATTAAGAGAATCTGTTTGGTATGATGGATAGAATTCTTGAGAAGATCTGACAATTTGCCTCAAGAGTGTAATACTAAGATTCTTATAATATATTTTGTAATATGTATTACCCGATGACTATTCAATTAAGGTACTGTATATGCATTTGTAATGTATATTATTATCTGTCTACTGTATGAAATTGTGAACCCCTTGAGGAATTTGTAGTAGATGAGGGTAGAAATAGCTTAAGCAACTATATCCTTTTAGGACGTTTTCATCATCTCGATAAACGTACTTGAACTGAAAAAAAGATGTATAAAGATCTAGATTTGCATGTATACATCTAAAAATGTTATTTATGACTGTTAATCGTCTAGCAGTTTAATGAAAATACAGTACAGATAATAAATCAGCTATTGTTTCTTGTGAGGCATCTAAGCACTTTTTGACTTATTTAAGCCATGAAATGCTAAGGTGCCAAAGACATCTCTATATGACTGAAGAGAGATCTTTGCTTGGCTGCAATATATTATTTGCCGAGATGAGACTACATAAAACTTTCTATCATCAGGCAGCTCTGCTTCAGCTGTTGGAGCATCCTCAAGAGAAAACTCTGACATCGGTACCTTAAAACATGTTCATTTGTTGCAACAAGTTCATTGGTTTTTAATTGTTCAACTTGTTGCAAAGCAGTAGTCCTGGTATGGCTTTGGGTACAAATATTGCAAGTCAGCAGGTCAACATTGCAGGTAGGAAGTCCAACCTTCTTTCCAATTGATCTAACAAGTAGATCATTAAGCAACCTATCAATATTTTTGGTCTCAAATTTTTTATTGTACGTCACTATGTGCTGCATAAAAATCAAAAATAAAAGATCTTTTCATAGGAAAACATGTCAAAAATAATTTCAGCTGTGTGGCTGACATTTTTATGCTTAAAAATGAGTCTCCAATTCTGACTATTGTTCAATTATTTAATCCACAGATCACGTACCATCACCGAGATTTGAATAATTTTGTTTATTCAACTGGTTAAACGGAATAAGAAAACCGTTTCTACAATGAGAAATTCCAAATTTCTAGGTAGACATTCAGAATGTGTGTGAAAAACTGCCAATTGGTTTGAGTGGCACACACTGTAATTAGAGTGATGGAACTTCCTCTTTTAGTCTTGCATAAACTCCATTATTCATTCCAGTCATTACTTGCATTATTTGTTCCAATTGGTTTGACACAACTGATTACTGCACACACATAATTTTATATTAGTCATCAGTATTGTTCTTGCACAGATCAACTAGATGGTCGAAAGTCCTTAAAGCAGAATGACAACACACGTGCATGCCAATCACTCCGAGCCATTTTAGGTTCAAAACTGGGAACAAAAAGTTCCAAGTAACACGGACTATGGTGAGCCCATAGTGGACTTACCTGGCACAGGAGCGGGGCTGTAACTTGACATCCCTTGATACGCCCACTGCTTAATGTTTACTTTGATTCCAGGAAAGGGGGGGCCAAGACAATCCTTAGCGCACCTGATAAACTCCTTTACCACAAAAAGGCAGCATCCATGAAGGGAGTGGAATAGACATGAATCACAAGAAAAAAAAAGTGAAGGCTCTCATTAGATTAAAAGGTTGGAGAAAATATCTACTTTATTGAAATATTTAATAAAATATTAAAACAAATCAAAGGTTTGTACAAATACAATTATTCTGAATAAAATAACTAAAATTATTTAAATGAGCAGTCTGAATAGACCATGCAATTATTTTCAGAAATATTAATATTTTCCGGGTCATCTTTGGTTTGATAAAATACAATAAAACTAAGCACAATAAATACAAGAGCACATGCATAGTATACCTCTCAATACTTGGAAATTAAATATTACAGAAAAAATTATTACTGGCATCACAATAAAATTTATCTGTTTCAAATGAAAGTGATTAAAATAAGTGCAGTATATACATATATTAGACACTAATCTGGCCTTAATAATCAGTGCCCGCTCTCAAATCTCTTCCATTTCTCCACAATGACGCCAATATGGCACGGTTAATTGCATATAAAAATTAAGAGCAGCATTATGCCATAAAATCTTGCCTTGCTTTTTAAAAATAAATACTGTAATACAAAACTAATGTTTTTTGTCTATCTAAATGTTAAGAAGCTAAACTTTACACAACTTCCCTAAACTTTCCTTGTCTTCCAGGACACTGGCCAGGAGGCTCCGGTCACCGAGTGTGCGCTCTGCTTCTTCTGCGTTCAGTCTTAGAGCAACCTGCAAATGAAGATACAATTAAGGACAAGATACTTGCAGTGCATTAATGAAAGTGTGTGGGGGATATTAGTTTATCCTGACTGCAATTGTGTGCAATGTCACTAATTTGCATATGACAGATGGCTCATTAAAAGCTATTATTAAGAGATGCGGAACATATAACCGATCAATAACTATCCACTTGGAAGAAAAACTTCACATAACGCTTGTCAAGACAACCAATCAAACTCTGCTTCCTAATTACTGCCGATTTGCAAAACTTTGGGCACAGGAGCTCAATAGGATGCTGCTAGGCTAACCCTTTGGCTGTGCCACTGATTATACCATGCAACACCGAGGTGCACATACAGGGAAAAAAAAATATTTTCAATTTTTTTTCCCCTTTAATATTGTTAAAATGCACTGCCTGATCACAGGAAAAAAAAAAAAAGGTACAGAATATGGCTTACTCTGGCCATAGTGAAGCCTGAAGTCTTGTGATGATGTCACGATCCATGTGCATTCATCGACCAATCGCCCCAGGGTGGTTGCTCAAAGCCAGCTGTCAGGCAGGAGTTGCCACAAATATTTTTTTACACATTTCAATGCCTGACTTTTTTGGAAGACTAAAATGCTTACATAAATTTCAAATACACAGGTGTGTGTTTTTATCCTGTTATTATGTCTGTGAGAAGATACTGTATTACCATTACTTAATCAACACATTGTTGGCATAAATACTGTATACATAATATCATAATTTTAATGTGGGTGGGCGGGAAAGTTTTATTTACTCATCATGCACCAGGCTAGCAAACTAGACAAAACCCTGGCCTCACCACCAGAGAACCAGGCACAATACAAATTTCAGAGTAACAACAACAGAGATGTCAACAGACGAAGTGGGAGAAAAGAAAAAATGCTCAAGGAATTAAGTTGGAACAAAGCAGTTGGCTCAGATGGAGTTTTACCTTGGGTTCTGAAAATGCATGTCAAAGCTGAGCATTTCACTTCCAACTGATTTTTCAAGCTCCATCTTTCAAAGGGGAGGGTTTTATATCCTTTGAATAACCATCATCTGCCTTTGAATACATTCCCACGAATTTATGTCCATTCTATTGTATGGTAAACAAAAAAAAGCATTATTGAAATAGCCCTTAAACTGCGCACCCCTTCATATGACGTTTTGGTGTACCGCGCATGAGTTAAACGGCCAGTGACTACACAGGGTTCACATCAGCTTCCTCAGGGCTCTTGTAAACAGATGCCATTTTTTTTTTTAAATCGTCGGCAACATTCCCAGGTGTGAACGCCTCAGTACTGAGTCAGCCACCATGGTTGGCACATGCAGCATGAGCTCACAGCACTGCTGTTCAGCTTGTGACCACAGCATTGCCAAAAAATTTAAAAAATACATGTAACTGGTATTATTTAACAATGATATTATTACAGAAGACCCCCCCCCTCCCCGATTGATAAAAATTACCAGGGATTCTGATAATAGCAGGATTGTTGTGATAATCTGTGCTGTGCAGAGGGAGGAGTAATGTTGAGGGTGGGAGGGCTGTAGCATCGTCTGCCGAATCTGTGTGGCCACCTGTTGCCGTCTGCGCTTACTATACCAGCTTAGTGGTTCGCTATGGTGAACACAAATGTAGATACTTATATAATGTGTATATATAGTGTAATAACAGCAAAAGGAGTGTTGGGAGAAGCCATTTTGGTGAGGGAGGTGGCATCATCTGCATGACTCAGGCTGTGTAAGGGTGGCCACTATACCTTGGATACACACAACAAGGAATTAGCAGGTGATAAGGTTTCAGAGGCCATCATTTGTGAAAAAGCAAGGCTATTGCATGAAGATCTTATATAGAATACCCCTGGAACGAGTGATGCAGATACAAAAGAGTAAGGCAAGCAGGGAATGGTTTGAGAAATTCCAAAAAAGAAGTGGAATTCATAGTGTTGTGAGGCATGGGGAGGCTGCCAGCTTAGACAAACCAGTGGCTGAAAGATTTGTTGGCAAATTTAAAGATTTTGTAGAGTGAGGGATACCTCCCACAACAAGTGCAGGTGGTTGTGAGGAGACTGGACTATTTTGGAAAAGATTGCTGAAGAGGACACACATTACCAAGGAGGAAAAGTCATAGGCTAACTTGTGCTGTGTGGTAATGCAAGTGGCAATTTGAAAATTAAACCCTTGATTGTGTATCATTCCTAAAATCCAAGGGTTTTAACAAAATATAATGTGCAGAAAAGCAAAATGTGTGTGATGTGAGGGGCCTAATTGTAAGGCATAGGTTACAAGGCAATTTTTTACAGAGTGGATGAATGAAGTGATTTGCCCTTCCATCAAAAATATCTGCAGAACAGTTTGCCACTCAAGGCCCTGCTACTCAACAATGCCCTTTCTCATCCTCCAGGCTTAGAGGATTCTTTGTTGGAGGAATTTAGTTTGTTACAGTCAAGTTCCTCCCTCCCAACACCACTCCTCTACTTCAGCCTATGGACCAGAAAATCATTTCCTATTTTAAGAAACTTTATGAAAGGGCACTTTTCCGGAGATGTGTCGAAGTGATTGATGCCACAAACCTCACCCTCAAAAAGTTCTGGAAAAACCATTTTAACATTAGTAGCGCTTTAAAACTCATAGACGAAGCCTGGGAAGAAGTGATTAAGAACCATGATCTCTGGCTGGAGAAAATTGTGGTCTGTGTTGCAGAACGAGACTTTGTGGGGTTTGAGCCTGAACCCGAAGTGCCTCTTGTTGAGGAAATTTTTTTTCTGGGCTGGCAATTAGAGTTGGATGGTGCTGATGTGGAGAAACACAGCGAAAAACTGACCATCGAAGAACTCCTAGCCCTTCAGAAGGAGCAGCAACAAGAGGCAGCTGAGGAAATTTCTTCAGGGACAGAGGAGGTAGTACAGAATGTCCCTTCCTCAATGCATAAGTGGTGTGCAGAATTGAAAGAAATGCAGTTTTGTTGAAACGACTCGCCCAAATCAAGCTGTGGTAGGCCGTTGCCTTGACATTTTCAATGACACTGCTATGCCTCACTACAAATTTTAAAACTTAGGGAAAAACAAGTCTATGGAAAGGTTCTTAGTGAGAAAAACAAGCAGCAAGCCATAACCAGGTCCTAGTGGTATGCAGGCAAAATGTAGGAGAGTACCCCAGAGAAGTTATCATTGCCTGATGTTATAATGGAAGGGGACTCCCCCTTCCAAACAATAACACTTCTCCCTCACCGTTTTCCAAGTGCCAACAAGTTACCAATAAAGGTGAGCTATAACTTGTGCACTATATTACAAAGTGTGTGTGTAATATGTATGAAAAGCATTTTTTTTAACATTTTTGGAAGTGTGCAATGGGTTAATTAAATTTACATTATTTCTTATGGGAAAATTCATTTCGAGTTACGACCTATCTCTGGGAACGGATTAAATTCTTAAACCAAGGTATCACAGTATGAATAGTTTTGCAGAACAAAAATTAGAAACATGTATACAGAAAATTGTTATCTTAACCACAATGACCTACCTTAGAGCTGCGAATTTCCTTGGCACGCTTGACCTGAAGCATTCCCCGGGACTCTAGCAACACACACACTGACAGAAACTCTGTCTGATCCATATTAGGCATTTGACGTTTCTTACACACCCGCGTATAAACCTCATGGAACTGGGGGGAGAAAAAAAAATGATAAACTAGGAATACTAATCCTATTTTCCAATATTTTGGTCTTGTTATCAAAACAGAAATGCTATAAATGTTAAAAATCTAAATCCCCAAATTTACAGAATGCCAATGTGGATGAATTGGTATGTACTAAATTATATGACAACTGCAATATTTTAAGCCACACATAACAACAAACACCACCTTACCTTCCCCAGTGTAACACCTTTTGTCTTGCCATGTTTGAGGATAAGGAGAAGGCTGCATATTAACACCTTCTGCTGAAGAGGAAAACTATCAGGAGCATCCGTTACAGCAGTGATTACACGCGACCCATAAACCTCATTGAAGATTGACATAACCTGAGGTATTTCAACCATTTTCAGTGGTGCATTCTCCTGTTTACGTGGGGATTTCCGAGGACTCCCTACAAAAGAAGTGCAAGTCATGTAATAAAACTTATTTTTCTTTAGATCTATCATAAAACAGGAAGACAGATCAATACACAGATTTTTCTTGGCAACAAAAGTATGGGGTTATTTCACAGTAACAGCTCATTTCACCATGTTTATTTGTAAAGTATTAGGAATTTCAGGCTATAGAGCTTGTAATGTACTGGAAAGATGATGCTAGACACTAAAAAATAGAAGAAAAAAAAATCAAGTACAACTGTTAGTGGAGTCTTGCCTTACCATTAGAGGGCTTCAATACACTTTGCCTGCGTGCTTGAATTTCACAGAGTTCCACTGCTCGTCTGCATACGTCTAGGGCTTTTCGCACATCACCTGCTACCGAAGCTACTTTCATAGCCAGAAACTGAATAGCACTTTGTCGAATCACTTGCATGTTCCCTAGGCCAGCCTGTAAATTTAAATTCTTAATAATATGCAGTACATAAGTAGAATTAGAACCACAGCATTTTGTATAAACAAGTTACACACAATTCAGTGGTTGAGGATATTACAGTCTAAACTTAAGACTTAAACTTGCTGCAGTGAAGTTCAAACGTCTGGCAAGTAAAACGATGTTTACACTCGTTATTAATTTCCTAGACTTTTCCTATTAATATCTAGACATTGTCCCGTACACAAATTAATGTCCAATTCTTACAATTGCCATGTTCTTTTACAGCACTTTATAAAATGGTAAAAACTGAAGACAAAATTTCAGTCCCGTGGAATAAGGGTTAGTTTGTTTGCCAAGACAAAGTCCTCTGAAATACAAAATTTCAGAGGCGACACAAGGTCACAGTGTCATTTGACATTTTATTCTAGCATACTATAAAAGACCTGCTAACCAACCCCTCTAACACTCCCACCGACAAGAGAAACGGCTGGACCGGAGTACAAACGCCTCGTCAATTGGAGTGAAAAGTGTGTGGTCAGGTCAGCAGGGGTGTCACTGTCAATACAATCCAATATTGTTTAACAATATTAGATCCTGATAAACCATCTTAGTTAGGTTAGGTTAATCCATAACACAAGCTCACGCAAGAACAATTTATCGGCTCACCCACAAGGGGAACTTCACTTAAATCATTTCTAAATGTGCTTGTCCTATGATGCATTGACAGCTGAGAATGCAATACCACACAGTACTCCAGGAGTCATACTGTAGTACATACATATTATACAAGGTAATTTAGCATAAACTGCTTGATAATGCTGAACAAATTTAAACCCTTAGTTATCATGATTATCAAATAATTTACAAGATTTAGGAAAATCAGGTTTTATGATAGACTAGAAGAAAAAAGTTCATTATAATTATTTTCACCAATAAACTACAGTAATGGGGAACAATAATGGAAACCGGTAAAAACCGATTCCCAGTTCATTTAAGCAAATATTCAACATTATATGATTACTGTATATATATAAAAGGATAATGCCAAAACAAGATTTATTAGATAGAAATGCAGGCATTATGATAAAATTACAATTTTGATGGATAATTGTAATGGATAAAAATGTGGTTAAAGAAGTATAGTACAAGGGACCTGCATCTGAACAAGGTATTCTGTAACATTCGTGCAGTTGACATGAACTTGCTAGTTAGCGAGAGCACCACCTCGTCACTGACTTTGTCCGCCTTTCTTGTGCATGAAGAAACGTCATGCACTCATTTTCATTGCTAAATATAATGGTTGCAGCGCAACCGAGTGAATGAAGCGTACCAAGTGTTGAGGGACTCTGTAAGGTCAAATGCTAAACCTGTTAATCCATAAGAATAGTATCCGTGCCTGTGGCACCAGTACCAGAGCCTAAAGCACCATTAACTACCGAGGAGTTAAGCCAAGGAAAATACTATTTCCATTTACTGTATCATTACAAATGGTATGTTTTCAAAGTGGGCATTACAAATGGTATGTTTTCAAAGTGGGCATTACAAATGGTATGTTTTCAAAGTGGGCATTACAAAAAATTACAGAAAAAATTATTGGTAAAGTAGTGCAAATCGCAATACCAGGGGCCAGATTCACGAAGCAGTTATGCAAGTACTTACGAACGTGTACATCTTTCCTCAATCTTTGACGGCTTTGTTACATTTATTAAACAGTTTACAAGCATGAAAACTTCCCAATCAATGTTGTTATTGTTAAAACAACCTCCTGGTGCTTCGGAGCTCATTAACTGTTTAATAATTGTAAACAAAGTTGCCAACAGGCTCGTAAGTGCTTACGTAACTTCTTTGTGAATCTGACCCTAGGTTGTGTGTTCACTAGGCAGAATATAAAATAGACCAATAACTATAATCACCCATATATTTTCCTCAATTTTCTTACTTTAAACCAAGACAATAAAAAAATTTGCACTGCCAATTGGGGTTAGTGCATATTGTAAATAGTATATGGCATAGCTATGATAAATGCCAAATTTTAAACTATTCCATTATTAGCAAGAAAAACTTACAAAACAAAAATCTAGTAAAAACTTTCTGGGCCCTGAATTTCAACAAATTATCTAGTGCAGGTTATCTTGAGGTTATCTTGAGATGATTTCGAGGCTTTAGTGTCCCCGCGGCCCGGTCCTCGACCAGGCCTCCACCCCCAGGAAGCAGCCCGTGACAGCTGACTAACACCCAGGTACCTATTTTACTGCTAGGTAACAGGGGCATAGGGTGAAAGAAACTCTGCCCATTGTTTCTCGCCGGTGCCTGGGATCGAACCCAGGACCACAGGATCACAAGTCCAGCATGCTGTCCGCTCGGCCGACCGGCTCCCCTGCAGCATCTGATACTAAAGAATGTGAAAAACCCTGGTGTAGTTATGATTATTCTTTGTTATAAATGCAACGTAGGGCAAAGGCCCCCCTGACAGAACTAAATGGTTCTCAAAACAATGACGAGGTGGAGTGCATGGTGGAAGTTCTCCTTAAAAACTGAATACTCGAGGGATTACAGAGACTGTCTAGAGATAAGGAAACAAAGCTGGAGTATATTTTGTAATTGAAACACAAACTTGCCTCTTCAATCCTTTGATTGATAATTTTGATGATCTCGGCCTTGGTGTATGGTGGAAAGTGAAGCAACTTAGGTTTGAAGGTGGGTCTTGACTGAAGTCTGGGCAAAATTCGGTCTGTCAGGTCGAGGGAATTGGCTATGCCCACTAGCACTAGTGTGGAGCCGGCAAGTGCTGGCCACTCAAATATTGTGTACAAGACCTCTTGATTCTTGCTATCCAACTGGTCCACTTCATCAAGCATAATCAATCTATAAGGTAACAGAAATTATACAAAGATATTAGGTTGTCACATTACACTAATGGGAGCTCCATATCAAAGGGGGTGCCAATAGCATATGTTTTTCCAAAAAGGATCTATCACTACTAACCTTTTACTCTTTCAAACTCTACCATCAAGCCTGGCCCTGGGCCAGGTTTGGCAAGCACAATACCTTTCAGAACCTCATCAGAGGTACAATCCAAGTACATCCACACGTGTCAATAACTACCTCCCAACCAAAAACTTTAAAACCTCACACAATGTTTTTATGACTTATCCAGACATACAATCAAAAAATTCATAACAAGCAGCATGCAACTTTCTCCCATTTCCTAGAAAATGTATACAACCATTATAACTTACTTTGTGCCCATGCACACACTTTTCCTGTGATACTATGAAAACTAATTCCCCCAATAGTTTCCATTGTTTCCCTACTACCCTTTCAAGCACAAAGACCACAGTTGCCCAAGTCAAAAATGGTATCTTTATTCTTTTTGCTTTGCAACATACTTATAACATTATGCCTGCCCTATATCGCCCCATGTCCCAACATACCCACGGTCATTCTGTCAGCAACACCAGCCTTTCCCTTCATTTTAAACTGATCTCTAATCAATTCTGTCAAACTGTCAATCATTTCTTTTGTTACCATTAAGAATCATTCCTCCTATATGTTATGCATACTTGTCAACAAAACCCCTCTACCCACTCCTACAGCATTCACTATTTACTTCTCCCTGTTCTACTTCAAAGACTATCTCTAACATTCCATATATCAATTTCTTAGTTCTAATAAAGTCCTGATTACTGTCTCACACTCATCCTTACAATATGAATGTTTTCAAAATATTGTGTCTTTCATGTCAACACATAACACAGCTTCCTGCAGCACTATCTCTTCTCAAACCTTTTCTCCGAGCCACTTACTACGTCTCTTCACAAACTTGCAATCAAACATCATTACCGCTTTTGTCGTCTCGTCCGTAACATATACTGCACTCATCTTGCATTCAATTTCACATTAATTTTACATTACACTGTCAAATATTTTACACATTAAAGTGCATTGCCAGGAAGGAGGTTTGTTACACACAAAATGACAATTTTCAATGGGTTAAATTTCAGTGAGTTAGATCGATCAGTTGTGTGTTAAAAGGCATACACACACACATACATGTTATGGTTGAAAAGGAGTTTGTTTGCCAAGACAAAGTCCTCTGAAATACAAAATTTCAGAGGCGACACAAGGTCACAGTGTCATTTGACATTTTATTCTAGCATACTATAAAAGACCTGCTAACCAACCCCTCTAACACTCCCACCGACAAGAGAAACGGCTGGACCGAAGTACAAACGCCTCGTCAATTGGAGTGAAAAGTGTGTGGTCAGGTCAGCAGGGGTGTCACTGTCAATACAATCCAATATTGTTTAACAATATTAGATCCTGATAAACCATCTTAGTTAGGTTAGGTTAATCCATAACACAAGCACACGCAAGAACAATTTATCGGCTCACCCACAAGAGGAACTTCACTTAAATCATTTCTAAATGTGCTTGTCCTATGATGCATTGACAGCTGAGAATGCAATAACACCACATAGTACTACAGGATTCATACCACAATCCACTCGAGTGTGTGGCGATTCAGAGCAAACTGCTTTTACACAACTTACAATTTTGTTTACCATTAATCTCTTTACCACTCTTGAGCAGCAATATTTACAAATTTGCACATGATACCAAAATAGAGCAAGAAATATATTCACAACTCAAAATTACCAAGACAGTCTTGGTAAGCTTTTGAAATAAAACAGATGCAGTTTAATGCTGAAAAATGTAAGGCTTCGAGACCATATAATATAATGGTTATAAGATTTACCAGATATCAGCTTGATAGTTCAAATTGGAAAGGCTGAATGCTAAAAGAATCTGGGAATCATGATTAGAGGGGATCTAAAGCCACCCAAAAATATACTGGGATTGATTTCCAAAGGCATGATCAATAAAACTAATGTTACTATTTAGCTACATAATGCTTTTGTTAGGTCTCAGATTATATAGAGTTGCTTTCGTTGCCATTCTATGGAGTGGACAAATTCACTTTAACGAATTCAGACAAGGACAACAAAGCTGCTGCCTCACACGTATGGGATCCGTGGTTCGAGTCTCCCAGAGCCCAGGTGAATGGGAGAACAAAGTTAATTCCAGGAATTAGAAACCTTTCATAAAAAGCTATTAAAAATAAAACAGGCTTAAATTTACATTTTCTAGAAAAGCAAGGAGTTAAGGGTAACATGATCAAAGTACATATACAAATAGACAAAAAAAGGGTATAACAAAGGAGAAAATAATATAATTTTGAATACATCAACAAAAAATAGAACATGAAACAGTGGAAATATATTGGACAAGTCTAGATTCAGAAAAGACCTGGGAAAGATTTTGAAATAGCATGTTTGATTTCTGTAACAAATTACTGGGAAACATAATAGACACGGGATTACTGGATTACTTTAAACGGTTAAGACATACACACAGGCCTTCTGCGGTTTCCTTAATTCACATGTTCAGTGACTGCGATTGTAAAAGCCAAGATACAATCCAAGATCTTAAATATGATTACTATTATTAAAAGTAATAAAACATCAAGTGTGTATTTGTATATAAATAAAGGAGTAGTGAGGCCACATGCCACTAATTTTGCATATAAATAAAGGTGTGACTGTAGAAATGTGTGATTCACCTACACATACCAGTATCAGTGATCAGGTCCAACGGCAATAATTTCTAATGTCTTTGGGTATTTATGAAAACTTTGTTCCTTAACAGATGAACTTTTAATAAAAAAAAAACTTATCACAACTTACATTGGGCATTTTGACGATGTTATTGCCTTCTCAATGGTCCGCATATTCTCTCTCTCTGTTCCACACAGCTTGAGACCAAGCCCTGAAACTATGGTTTTGTATATGGCACCTGATGTCTTCAGGGTCATGCAGTTCAGGAATATTTTTTTTATCTTGGTTACCTGCAGTTAAAAAAAAATTACATTATTTTACTTGCATTAGAAAACAAAAATTTTAAATGAAAACTATTGTAAGGTGTACTGCATTAATGAGGTTATTGCAGGTATCAAATTACATGGCTAATCTCGATATACTTATTTAACAATCTCTATAAAAATTGTGCTGTAAAGTCCTAATGAAAATGCACAAAGGCTAAAATACATTGAATAGCTGGATTCAAATTGTGGGAAAGAAATTAGTGCAACAAATAAATTTACAAACGACCTCACTGCTTCTATTGTCTACCGTCTTAACTCCTCCCAGTGTGCCTCGGCTTTTGTTATTTTTCCCAAGCCTTTCCTGTTTCCGTTGTAGGCCTCGCTACTGTTGAACCATGGATTAGTCCTCCTCTGCTTTTTCTTAACTAAATGAAGATCAGGTTCATTTGTCATCATTTCCTCTAGCTTGTCCTCTCAACAGGAATTCTTGAAGTGTTTTCACCCTTCTGTTGTCTTCTCTTATCATTCCTTCTTGTGTGCACCTGCTACTACTGCTGTCCTTCATTCAGTTGACTATGCAGCTGCACTAATAGTAATCACTGGTGTAAATCTGTTTCGGGAATATATCCCTCTTGTAATTCTCGGGATACTTGTATTAGGAGGAATGAGGATTCAAACCTGCATACTGGGTACTCCCTAGCACATGCCTTAAATCACTGGACCAAGTTATGCTACAAAAGCAATGTAACCTGTGATTCAACTAAATCCTCTAGGGGTTCCCGATGTATCCAGTGGACATCGAATCAGGATGTAACATATTACCCGCATACACTCACTCTGGTGTGGTAAAGAAGTTTTACATCAACATTATTAAAGGACTGAGTTATAAGACTACAATGGAAGTACTCACTGAAAAACATGGATGACTGAAGAATTAGATTTCTGGTACAGTACTGTGCTTTAAAATCAAGCAAAAGTGGAGGCTGGTACGAGAGAAAGAAGGATGGAAACCTAATACTGAAGTAGTAGTAATTGAAGTACAGAAGACCCCCTGGAAAAATTTGAGTTTGAGAAGAAAACAGGAAGGACCATACAAATTTTTGCTGTGAATACCGAGACAGCATATACATCATTGCTCTCCGATTAGGGACAATGTGACATTAGTGAATGGGGAAAATGCCGAAATCTAGAAAACTATAAACGTGCTAATATTCCATGCTAATATTTATGAAAGGAGATCAAGTATGAAGCTTTAACCTAGTAGGCATCCTTAAGTCTCGGGAGACTATGGAGTTGCGCCCTAGTTGTCAATCCTGGTGCAGCGTCTGGTGGGACTGATGAGGTCAATCCGAGAGTGGCAGTCCATCCCACACTGAGCACAAATGTGAAGCTTTAACCTAGACTATGACTAAAACCTTGCAAAATACTAGAGAAAATAACCAGAAAGAGGATAATAGAACATCGAGAGAACTAACTTTATATCAGACACAACATAGTTTTAGAACAGAAAAGCATGCTTTATGAATCCAATCAAGGTCTGCAACAAGATTGCAAAGATTCAGGAGACGATAAATACCATAGAAGCATTCCTCTAAGATTGCTTGACATGGTCCTCACTTAAGAACAAAGGTTAGAAAAGCAGGCATGAGGTAACTGAAGATAATGGACTTTATTAGAGTACTGTTATGGCTACACAGCTGCCATTTCTCAGACAGGTGTTGCAAACGAGAAACAGGGAGCCATCCACTAACAAGTAGTTTATCCAGGCAAACGATTGTTACCATGTGTCGCCATCCCATCTTGTTGCCCAGGTATCTCCGAAAGGGAGATCAAAAAGATAAAGAGTACCAGTGAATCACTTCAGCCTTCACTTCAACTGCATATTATTCTTTATGTTACAATTTATATGACTTTCATTGCTGTTTAATGTTTATTGCATGATGCTATGTTAACCACCGTACTGTGCAAATCCCGATATGAGCACAGGGTGTGCACTGCCCAACGTAAGTTTGTTGGCAAATATTAAGATTCAGAACTCGCGCAGGTACATGGGGTTCACCACCTGTTTCTCAGGACCTGAGTTAACAGATGCAACCTTGAAAAAAAAATTTTCTGCATTTCCCTTTCCCCCCTGGCTGTGAGGGCCTCAGTACTGCCAGAGCAACCAAAGCTGGCACACGCAGAAGCTCCCAGCACCACAATGCATGACAGGACCACAGAACCACTTAATAATGGTGGTGCTATGGCCCTCTCTATCAACCTATATATCTCGTTATGCAATAACTGAATGGGTATAGTCTTATTCAAATTAAAACATTAGATGGGATGCAGTACTAGTAAATGCCCACATACTAAGTAAACTGACAAGCAATAAATGGCCATACCTCTAAACTGTTGATAATGGAGTTCAAAGAAGCCGTTTTCCCAGTGCCTGGAGCTCCAGAGACGTAAAGTGACCCAGGCAAAGCATTCTTCAAGTGGTGGCTAAGAAAATCCTCCATTTCACCAATTTGCTTTTCACGGCAAACCAGTACTGTAGGAGTGCCAGTGTTTAAACACTGTCGTACTGCACGGTAAGCAGTCACTGGAAAAATAAAGCAAACTTAATTTCAGTACAATGCAGCTATACTGTAATATTCAAGGGTTGGACTACAGTTCTTTACCCTGAATAAGACAAATTTGGGCGAGTAAAAAAATAATTATAACTGATTATATATCTTTTTGGTTAATATGCCAGTATCAGAACTGATCTAAATAGAGATCATTACATCTGGGATGGTCTATAAATCACATTTTTATGAATATATTATAATGAGAATAAAGTAAGAACAGAGTTTAAACCTAGAGAAGAACTGAAGAGGGGTCTAGCCTTTAACAAGCAACCATCAAGTGGGTTTATAAGCATATATGGTATATACTACAAGCACAAAGAAATAGTTAAAATTACAACTAATAATTTATAGCCAGTAGATGTACATCCACAAACCACAAGCTGGACAGCAGAATGAGTCTCGCTTCATGCAGGTCGGTGTTTAATTCCTTCCCTCCCCGTCCTATCCCAAATCCTTATCCTGCTCCCTTCCAAGTGCTATGCAGTTGTAATGCTTGAGATTTTCCCATGATAGTTACCTTACCTTCCCACAAGCCAATTTTATTTCTGGATCTACCATATACAACACTGCAAGGCAAGGACCAGCTTCTGTCTCCAAGGATGCACACCACCAATTGAGTAAATTAAGCAAGAGTATATGCCGAACCTTTTATTTAATTGTATAGAAAATATAAACACTATTTATTTAGCAGTGTAATTTATAAATAAAATTATTTTTAAATGCGTTTACTTACCATCGGGTTTAAAAAGCCCAACAGCTATGTCTTTCATATTTCTGCTTGGACTAGTTAGAGAGAGTTTTGACACAAGTGATGATGGGCTGTTAACTTTTGTGGGAGACAATGCCAATTTTCTTGGGCTTCGGCGTGGGCTGAATATATTTTCTTGGTTGAACTTCCGTGGTGATCTCCTTGGACTATCATCTAAGCGCTTCAGAGGTGACCTCAATGAAAAATTTACATCAAGACGTTTAAGAGGCGATTTCACAGGACTGTTCATATTAAGACACTTTACCGTAGGCCTTGATGGACTCTTAAAGATCACTCTGCTTATATTACTTGGAGAGTCACATTTGGCAATATTGGATGTGGATGCAGAAAGTGAGGATTTCTGAGGAGTCTGCAATTTTGTTATTCTATTGTCTGCAGTAGTTGAAGACCTATCCAGAGAGGAAAACCTGACTGGACTTGATAGTTCTCTCTTTGTATCCTTAGTAGAGAAATGAGAATTACTATTTTCCTCGGTTAAAATGTCTGGCATCAGCTTACGACAAGCTTTAGATGGCGTGATATTTGTACTATCCAGAGGCAGTTGATGTAGAAGAACAATCATTCTTTTAGGCGAGTTCAATTCATTTTCCCACTCTGCAAATATATTTTTCACATTAGTTTCCCAATCTGCAAATATATTTTTCACTTGATTTCATTATATAAACAAGAAAACAACAAAATATGAATCACAGTACCAACAACTAATTAAAATATTTGCAACTTATTGTACGTATATTGACATATATGGACAATTAGATAGTAGAATTTGGTACTATTCACTTTAGTCCACAAAAAATAAAGCTACACTTAAATATTCATAGGCCTAGTATAACACATATGTGCTTTATTAGGCCTAGGGTAGTGTGTATTAGGCATAGGAGGCCTGGTCGACGACCGGGCCGTGGGGACGCTAAGCCCCGGAAGCACCTCAAGGTAGGATGGTTAGTTTTAATTGCAATATAAAACCTTTCCCCATTTGTCCAAAATCAATATTTCCAGATTCCACTTTCTAATTGTCCTTTACATCAATATATGTATGAGGGTCTACATTATTATAAGTACTATCTAAACAGTACTATCTAAACAAAGGATGGGCTGCAACTATGCAACACATTAGAAATTTCTGAGTAAATTGAACCTAGTGTTCTTAAAAGACAGAAGAGTTAAGAGACATGACTAACACATACAAAATTCTCAGGGGAATTGATAAGACATTATTTAACATGAGTAGCACATGCACAAAGAGACATGTGGAAACTTTTTTAGTGTCAGTGGTTAATGAATGGAATGCATGAAGAACAGAGATCAACCCAAAATGGTAAAACTGACCAGAATGAATATAGACAAACTACTGTATCTTGATTAAAAAGAGAAAGAGATGGAAATCAGGAAGGAGGTAGTTTGCCCACTATCAACAAACCACGTACTAGTACCCATCATAGAAACATAGTCTGTTCTAGGAGGATCCCAATGTACATATTGTATGTATAATACATTTTCTAACGAAACATCTCACAAATTGTCCATTTCACAAATTACATACAAAACAATCCTTAAAGATTTAATTAAAAATTACCACCACTTCCTGCCTTACCTGACAATGGTAAACTTGTTCGTTTGCTAGGCGTCACCAATCCCTTCTCGACCTCAACTTGCTCATTATGTCCTGTAGGTACAGCTGCCCTGTTGGATACCCCCTTCTGGCTACAAGACGTATCACCTTGGTTAGGCGAGCACTCTCGTCTAGGACCGTGTTGTCTCTCTGGACTTTTACATATAATAGCGGCTTCAGATACTGTCCCGAATAAAGATCTCTTTGGACTATTGCAATTATCAGTAGAAACACACAAGGTACTCTTCTTTCTTGATGATCTTCGTGGACTTCCAAACTCATTGGTGTGAGCGGAAGATATTTCTGCATTTTGTGTAGATTTTCTATGGCTGCTAGATACATCTTCAAGTCTGGAAAATTTATCGGTCTTGTTAGGTGACTTTGTTGAATTCTTAACCAATCTGCTTTTGGCACGAGAACTTCTGACATTCAGACATGTTTCTGTTGAAATTATTTTATCAGATTTTAAGGACCTCGTCTTCCGAATGGGAAATTCAATTACTTCTTGTTTACCAGGCATCTGAAATTAAAATGTTGCATAAAAAATTAGTTACAAACACAAAGTCATACACCTAAACTGAAAAAAGGTATAGTTGGAAAAAAAAGCATAGAATGTAATAAAACAGCAGTTTCAGGGAGAGCCCTGGAGGCTCCCTGAAGCTATTATCAATGATTAAGTGACATACTACCTAGAGTCATCTGTTGCAGTTCTTTTTGCCTAGCAGGGGACGAGCCAGAACTTGGCCTCCCCACACAGAGGCGCAGGGAGTGATGGCCTATGATCACTTTACATTTAAAGAATATTATCTTTGCCATCACCAGCAAAGGCACCTAGAAAGATAGGCAAATAAATAAAACACTGCCTGGTCTCAAAATCCGACCAAATCCCCCAAATGCCAAAAGAACTCCCCCAAGAAGAAAGGAAATGACCAAAATTTAGTGACACTAGGCCCCTGCCAGTTAGCTCCCCCTCCCCCCCCTTGTTAGGGGAGGGGGGAGCCTCAGTTCTTTACTGATGTGCTTACCTAGCAGTCACACTACTCTGGCTTCTCTGTCCTGTTCTCGTAATTTTCTCTCCCTTCATCGTTTTCTTTCCGTTTCCGACTGGGTTGTTCTGTCCTTTCTTCGCTTTTCTTAGGCGTCTTTTTGCCTTGTACTGTTGCAAACTAAAACTAAACTAAAAATCAAACTAAAGAGTTATATAGGTACACTGGAGTTTAGCTAGATTTCCAAGAACTCCATATCCACTTTCTCCACTATAAAACAAGACTTAATTTTATCACACAAGTTCAGAATGCTTGGGATGTACAACAGTGCATAAATATAACCCCAAACACATTTAGTGTGGGAAGCTGGACAGCCTGGGTTGACCAGTCCAGTAACCATGACGCTTGGTTGGGGATCAGGCTGCGGGGACGTTGAGCCCCAAAATCATCGCAAGGCAAAGTAACCCTGCAGAGAATGTAATGGACCAGAGCATTAACATGGACTGCCCATGCTGATTCTTTTTCAACCACACAAAACAAAAATTTGCTAGTACAGCTTTGTGCCTTTGAAACTTTGGCTGTATAAAAGTTGACCTGTATAATTCCAACCCTTCATACTGTACTGTAATTCAATGCACAGCAAAACATGGGCTGTTGGTTTTTCCACGTTAAGTACAGTTCCATGTAATGTTAAAACAGTTATCTGCTTAAGAGTATGCTAGCATGCTAGTAAAGATCAACTGAATTCCCACATTAAGATTACAAATGCTGGCTCATCCTCCCCGAGGTGTGCTGTATTCAATGTTTAACATCTTCAGCTCTCAACGCTGCATGGAAAGAGATGTGTTTGGCATGCAGGGTCAAATACCAAGTTAAAAGTTGGTAGTTTCTTAATACCACGTACCAAAAGAAATATTTATAATTACATAACTTATAATGTGTGGTTTTTCACAAGATGTTATGTATCCAAGAAGATAGTTGGCCAAACTTAGCCTGCATGAATGTGACCTTGACAGTTATACATCACAGCTGCCCGTTATTTTACGCTATTTGCAGGCTGTCATATTGGGTAGCCAGGAAGAAATTAGATAGCATGTTTAGGTGCACGGCAACAAGATGTTGAATAATTATCAATATCGAGTTTTATGATGAGACAATTCGGTCACCTTAAAAACATGGCAAATTCCTCCTTTAATGTATTTAAGACATTCAGGACCACACCAGAATGCATTTATGGCAGTAATTTGAGAATACGCATATTAACCCTACATCCCAAAATTGCTGTTGGACTATGTTGGATACAGGCCTATGCAGTGTTAGGCAACTTATATTACTGGCCCATTAGGCACTGCCTTTTATGGATAACTTTCCAGGATAAAATAATCGAGGTGCTCCTTTAAAATTTACGATCCCATTGTATAGTGGAGCCAAGTCACCTCGTACCCAGGATCGTTCACCAATATAATGATATGTACAGTTTTTGGCAATGGGAAAAGTTCTCAAAAATATTTGTTAATATTCTTTTCTGCCCAAAATGCTATGCATGTTAGTGGCTTTGAAAGAATGTAAAAAATACCCATCTTATGTAATCTCACCGTCTTGTAAATATAATTATTATTAATGTATACAAGATTTCTTACATTCTTGTAAAGCCAATAGCATGCATAGCGTTTAGTATTTCGAGCAGGTCCTTAATCTTCATTTTCCCCGGAATATAACCCAACAAATCGTTTAACCAGATACCCAGTCACTGCTGAGTGAACAGAGGCTACAGTTAGGGATTGGCACCCAGTCAATCCTCCACAGCCAGAATACGAACCCAGGCCATATCACTCGTGAAGGGCCAGGCGAGCGTTTTACCACTGCGCCACGGACACCTAATTATTATTATTATAAAACGTACTTCGTTAAAACGCTTGTGTACGGTTATCACCCCATGTATCTGTGTCCATATCGTGCAGCATCTTAAGGCCTGCATTCACAATCTTTAACAGAATCATTATCTACATGGATTCTCCAGAGTATTCAGGCATGAGTGGTTTTACACACAGAATGAGCCAAGCACTTCGAAAAACAAAACAAAACTAAATAATTACATACTCGAAACACACGCGTACAGTCAATGTCGTCGGCAGCCATCCCATCCCATCGTTATCCGCCATTCTTTCACCTCAAAGCCAACCAAATCAATCTTATCTGACACACCAGAGATGCACAAACAGCTTACCTTATTAATATGAGTGTTGGTAATCCCCCAGAGCCGGCAGGAGAGCAGGGAAGACGGAAGATTGAGACCCGCCACGAGAGGCTCCTGTGTTGATGCTGCTGCTTGCAGTGTTGGCGGGAAAAGTTGTCTTGACTCAAGTCAGCTGGGGGGATGGCGGGTTCTAATTGGTCCGGCAGCTGGAGAGGCTCCGCCCTGATAGGTTAGTTTGAGCTTGCCGCCTCAAGAATAAATTCTGCTGATTGGCTCAGCTGTGTCCCTTTAATATTATGTGGATATTTAAAGGTTCATTTAAAGGGTAGAAATAACCTAAGCTACTCTATCCCTTTGAGATGTATTTATTTCTTTTCTCAATAAACATACTTGTACTTGAACTAAATTGGTTCATTCCCAAGTAATTTTTTGTTATTATTTTAGCCACTAATCACGCACTGCGCTTTAGGCAATGTCGATAATACCAAAAATAAAACAGTATATTGAAATTTAAATTTAAATAAGTTTGAAACAAAATTAACAAAGGGTACCTAGCTAAATTGATTTATTCCTGCACTCAAGAAATGTTATTCATAACGTACAAATAAATACATAAAAGTAGTTAGTTTAGTTCATTTATTATGCACCCCATACCCATCTTGTGGGCGGTAGTGGAAAGGGTTACAGAGGCACATAATGGGCTCAGGGACTGAACCCCACAATTCATTGAGCTAAGCAAGTTACAATCTTGATGAGCTAGTTACAAAATTCAGTATAAGTCGTCACATCAACAATGGGTTCGAGATCGAGTGCTCTTCTGTCATCCCTAATTTCATGAAATATTGCGGCTTTTACAAAATTTTGGAATGCCTATATCCAACCCTTCTGAAGATGTATTATTAAATACGAAAGTACTTAAGGAAATGCCTGTTTCAATTACTACATTTATATATAGTTGATATAATTCTCAGTAAACCAATTTTTCATATTATGCTAACAGAAATAAAATATATGCATATAATATTTTCAATTTCAGTACATTGGTCACACAATATTGTTCTTAATTCCCAACCATCAACAACCTATCATTGTTTAATTGATATTATATTTTAATTTAATATATATCTGCTTTATAGTAGGGAGGGCCCCATGTATATAGCTAAACAATAGTTCACGTTGTTTTGGGCCAATACATTGAACATGAAGGTTTGCTCATATTACACGCCAGTTGAAGGCTGGATATGCCGAAGGGCCTGACAGCTGAGTGGATAGCGAGCCCCGTGGAGGGGGAAACAAATGGGCAGAGTTTCTTTCACCCTGATGCACCTGTTCACCTAGCAGTAAATAGGTACCTGGGAGTTAGACAGCTGCTACGAGCTGCTTCCTGGGGTGTGTGTAACAAAAAAGGAGACCTGGTCGAAGACCGGGCCGTGGGGGCGCTAAGCCCCGAAATCATCTCAAGATAACCTCAAGATGCCACCTCTACTCTAGGAACTAACTATATATGGGAGCTATCATGCACGTGTTTACTGTTCATCAGTAAAAAAAAAAAAATTCCAACATTACAAATCTGGCTGAGATTGATTAATTGATGATTGATAAAGATTAAGCCACCCAAAAGGTGGCACGGGCATGAATAGCCAGTAAGTGGTGGCCCTTTTGAGCCATTACCAGTATCAATAGATGATACTGGACATCTGTGGAGGCTGCATGAGAACATCAATGGTACATTAATAACAGTGAGGTGAAATAAAGGCAAGGTCAGTATACTCTGGCATATGCATCAAGTCGCTAACACGTATCTTACCAAAATAATGCCCTAACGCATTGACACTATTTCTTTGCACTATCTCCTTTCTAAACGTAACACATAAGATAGCCAATGACTTACGGCACACATTCAGTATTCCTATTCCACCGTTTTCCTTACCTTTACATAGTGTAGTCCGTTTAATTGGTTGGTATCTACCATGCCATACTTATCTAAAAATAGTTTTGTCAGTCTCCATAGCAATTTTTCTATCAATTGGAAAACTGTGAGTCAAATGCCACACTTTAGAAAAAAATTTGCAATTGATAATTTCAGTCTTCTGAAACAGGGTTAATTTCCTATTTGACAACATATTCGTAACTACTATTATATTTCTACATAGTACTTGCCAATTCGTGACTAATATTGTTCCATATGTTTTAGACCAGCAAATCCCAAGAGCCTTAATAGACTCCACTACCTTGAACCATGACCCTGTCCAGGTAACTTTATTATACCAACTGGCAAGCCCCTACCATACACGTTTTGAACAAATCCACAAGGGCCGTGACGATGTTTCGAACCTACGTCCGAGAGGATCCCAAACGTGCCTTAATCGACTGAGCTACGACATGGTTAAAAGAATTGCAACCGGGAAATCAACTTGACCTACCACGGATCCTGCAGTCTCTCCGAAACACAAAGTAGGTTATTACACAATTCCCCCATGTTAGGCTTGTATAGGGATCTAGATGAAGTGTAAAGTGTGTGGACAAAGACAGGGACACACTCGAATACTATATCTTAGATTGTAGTAAAATTTAGGCATTTAGAGATAAATCTAAGCTCACGCTGTATGATATGGCAACCTATCTTATTACCAAGGATAAAATACCTGAAATCCTTGCGCTATATCCATATTTCGCTCCCAGTAGATAAATGATATATGAGACTAAGAAATTCAGTATCGTGAAGACTAATAATAAACAGCAGCTCCCCTATGACTGTAATATCTCCATTGCTCAAACAATTATGTATTAGCGATAAGACCCACCATTAATGTATAATGACTTACTGTAAAGATATAGCTCTTGAAATAGAACATTCTCTGTAACTAGCTGACATGTAACTATAAGATGTGAAGGATAGATGAAATTGTTTATGTAATAATCTAAGATGAGGTCTGACAAAAACCTTTTATGCCCTCTGTAATGCTTTTGTGCTACCGCTCACAGGATGAGTATGGGGTGCACAATAAACTAGCCGACTCCGGCGGCATCAATCAATCAAAATCAATCCTCCATGCACGCAAGCTCTGCCAATAAGCAATTATACCTCTTCGCCCTTACTTCATTACACACAGAAATCACAATAGCGTGATACATCAAATGAACAAATCCACAAGGAACAAATCCCTTGTGGATTTGTTCATTTGATGCATCACGCTATTGTAATTTCTGTGTATAATACACGTTTTGTTCTTGTTAATGACAACACCTGTTGCCCTCTCAATGTTGTCTAACTCATCCTAAACATTCACCACCGAGTCTTCTGTCGACACAAGAATAGTGGTATCGTCTGCATAACTAACAACAGGAAGTCTCGTAGCATGGGTATTAAGCAAGACTGGAAAATAGTATAGTTTGTCATTTTATGAAAGGGAGTATGGGTCTCGACCCCCTACCCTCGATCATCCCTGGACAAAGACTAGCCACCTTTCAAAGATTGGTGAGGCTATCCCCAAGCGCCTGGCCCCCAACTTTGGACAGACAGATAGACATACAGAATCATAAAATAAAGTATTGGTGACAGAAAAGAAATTATATTTTACAGATCTTAATTTCACATTGTGTGGTCGTCGCGATGCTGACGACGATGCTGCTCTTGTGAGATAATTCTCATTTGTTCATACCATGACAAGCGTTGATGGCTCGTTTCTCTCCGTCTACCGTTTTCCTCTCTGAGTTTTGTAATTTCAGTTTTGAATCGCTTATTTGCTGTCCTTTTCTTCTTGTAATCATTTCGGCGGTCAGCTAAATACGTCTTTACCCAGTCATTTTGGGCCGTGATAAGGTCGCCTTGTTGCCTCTCCTTCTCCAGCTCCAGGGCTTCCATTTCCACTTCTGCTAACTGGAGATCCTTTTCAACTTACTGTAGTTTTTGTAGTTGTCTTGGTAGATCATTATGCGAAGGGACGCTTTCAATTTACAGCTCGTTAATTTATTCCTGCAGCTCACTTTCGACTCTCTGCAGCTCTTCTTCCATCAACTGCACCCTACTTTCAAATTTTCGCAGGTTATTTACTGTTTTTCTCATGTCATTTTCGATTGTCATGCGTTCAATTTCTTGATCTTAGTATTCAATTTTAGTGTGCTTATTAAATACCTTCTGTTGTTCACTGCTGATTTAGAAGTGTTCCATGAGGATTTTCTTTGATTCATCGACTATATTTTTGTCGATAAATTTCCGAGGAGAAGACACAAGCTGGTGAGATGAGTCCTCGGTCGTGTCGGGTTCAGGGGCCTTTAGGCACAGGGGGAAGAGAGTTGGGCGGGCCCAAGCTAGCCCGACACAGCATACTCTTACGCTACCTCTCAAGCTCCGACACTCCATACGGATGCCAGCGCGCTTGAGCTGGCTTTGCAGGGTGACCCGGTTGGGTGGCCTCCCGAAACGCTCTCTGGAAAAACAGTCATAGGCAGCAAGGAGATCAATGCGGGTGATCGCCTCCTCTCCCCCGGTGAAAATAATATTTTCCTCCAGGAACTGCTGAAACGTGTCTAAGTGTGGCATTATAGTTTGACTTTATTGCACGAGGAGATGAATTCAACGTGAATGCGTGACGTGCATCGTTCTGAATATTCTCCTTACTTAATGACTTTATCACAGAGCTGAAGCTTTATAGTTAGGTTGAACGTATAAGGTTGGGGTTTATAGGTTGAATTATAGGTTTATAGGTTGAATTATAGGTTTATAGGTTGAATTATAGGTTTATAGGTTGAGGTGAACTATAGGTTAAGATTGAACATCACTTGGACCTCTTGACTATACTCTAACCTCTAAAGGTTCCTAATATCATAGCAGAGAGTAATTACAAATGTGATTTGTTTAACCCAAAATTATAGGGTACTGAAAAGTTAGTAAGAGTTACATTCTTAAAGTTTAGATAAAAAACGTATAGGTAAAATAAGGTAGTTATGAAGGTGTTAAATTATCAGGAAAATGAGCTTAGCCTTTTAATTATAGTGAAAATTAAAATCTTTAACTACAGTGGATTTGGAAAGGATACGCAGACACCAGGATGAAGATAATATATGTAGCAATATTATATACATGAGGTCCCCATGAGGAGCTCTGACATACTTAAAATACGTTATGCAGTGTCTTAAACTAATGTGTAAGAAATGGGGGGGAGAAAGTGAGACCATTACCTCCTCCAGGTGCTCCTTGGGTCATGTTGACAACAGTGACAACACACACAGTGCAAGCAATACAAGCATCACATCACAAGCAACACAACACAAGGTGCACACACAAGCAACGCACGCAACACAAACCCAAACACAAAATTAATACACATACACATATTACCGAATACCTTAACGAGCGAATTA